CTATTCTAACGTAACCAAACCTTATGGTTCTAACTAACCTAACCATTTTAACCTACAAGTAAACTAACCTAACTCAGACCTAATCAAACCTAAAATAACTATTCTAACCTAACTTAACCTAATGTTTATATAGAGAGAGAGGGAGAGAAGGAGAAGAGAGAGAGAGACAGGAAGAGAGAATGACAGGGAGATGAAAAATATATATATATACATATACATAGAGAGAGAGAGAAGAGAGAGTGAGAGGGGGAGCGAGAGTAGAAGAGAGATAAACAAAAAAGATGCGAGAAAGGTTGAGAGAGAATAAGAGAGAAAGGAGGAGAGAGGAAAGAGTGGGTGGGGGGGGGGAGAAAAGAAGTGAGAGAGATGACTAGAGTTAAGCCATCTATGCGTAAAAGGCCAACCTCTGCAATACTTTCTTCACGGATCACATAACTACGCATGTATAGAAATATGAACTCAATACTTGGTGATGTTTAATTATGTATAATTCAGTTTCGGTTAATCTGAATGCTATCTACCCACATTTGATCAGATGAGCGAGAGAAAGCATATTTTGTTGTTTCAACTCGAAGGTGGCTCTTAGAACTTCCTAGAAGGGAAAATAAACAAAAAGTCTGCGAGCTTACTCCTAATATATATCAAATATATGCATAGATAGATTTATTTTACCTATTATTATTATTGGTATTATTATTATTATTATCATTATATATGTATATATATATGTATTTGCGGGGCTTCAATAATGTTCATATCTTGGTATGGTGCTTATTAATTTCTAAGATATTTTACTATCATTTTATTGCTAAAAATAACGGTAATATTAATTGTAGAAAAGAAAGACCAGTACTGGGGGCAGTCAAACTTACAATAAGAACTATCTATCGTTATTCTTATCTTTGTTAAATCCCCGGGACAGAGATGACGTGAGGTCCCGCTTTCCTACTTAACACTCTCCATTCCCTCTTAGCATGGTCTGTCTTGATGTTGGGAGGTTTTACCACATTAACCGTTTCCCATACATTAACAATATTTTCCAAGACATCTTTCATCGCGTTTCAGCCACGTGCTTAGCTTGGATGCGAAAGACTTCCATGATTTTTTGGTTATGAATCCACTTCGTAACTGGCCTTGACATATGTATATGTCACTTATCATGCACGGATAATGTAACCATTCCACTATTTTCTTATAGAGACTGTAATTACTTAATTGATATGGAGCAGTTAATTTTCACTTAATAGGACTTTGATCACGACAGTCCGGTGATACCTCCTTGTTTATTCTTTATAATTCATTTTCGTTTAAGAATATATCAAATTCACCCGGAATAAAAACATGTGATGGAATAGGCAATGAAGCACTTATATTCCACAACTTTAATAATATGAACAATGATATAGTTCACTATTTACACTGACACAGCTATGCGACGCTATTATTGAGTGAGCGAAATCGAGCTGTTCCCCTGCCCTTATATGCGAGTTTTATGCTGGATTGTGTAGTTTTATTAGCCTCTCATAGTCCCTTAAACTTCATGCTTGTTCATGCCTCATAGATAAATAAATGAATGTGTGTGTGTATGACACACACACATATATATATGTGTGTGTGTTAAGGATAAAACATATATGTATATATATATATACATATATGTATATATATATATACATATATGTATATGTATATATATATTCAATATCACTACCCATGCGTGCTATTAATAATAAAATATGTAACCAAGGTATGATTCTGAATATCACACTAAATGTATCGTTCAATATTATAAAAGTAGTGGAAGGTTCCCTGTGACTTTATCTCTTTGTCATGAAGGACTATGGTATATTTGTCTCTGAGTCCCTGTGACAATGTGTGTGTTAGTGTGTGTGTTGTGTGTCTGTAGAGATAGATAGGTAGTTATATAGATAGATGTGTGTTTATAAACACGCACGTGTATTCCGGTTATCGATATTGCTTTAATAGGTCACATTCCTGTTGTCAGTGTTAGTAATACTATCCATTTTGTCGGGAGTTCCATCTTTGATTTTTACTGCTTCTCTGTTATAAGTATTCTGTTTATCATTCATAGCAAAATTATCTTGTTCTATTTCCCATTCACAGGACAACATTGAGTATTATCCCTGACTAGCACGGGAGTCAGTATCAAAGATGTATTTGGGAATACAGGGAGTACCATCTCTCTCTCTCTCTCTCTTTCTCTCTCCTCTCTCTCTGTCTTTCTATCTATCTATGTCCCTCTGTCTTTCTCTTTATCTATCTATGTCTCTCTGTGTTTCATTCTCTCCCTCTCTCTCTCTCCTTCTCTCCCCCCCCCTCTGTCTCTCTCTCTCTATCTCTCTCTAGTAGTAGACAAAATATAGATATAGTATATACACACACACACACACACATACACACACACACACACACACACACACACACATAAATATATATATATATATATATATATATATATATATATATATATATATATATTAGACAAAATATAGATATGGTAGACGAAGATAAAGATAGTACATAAAAATAGAGATAGTAGATCAAGACAAAGATAGTAGATAAAATACAAAGATAGATAAAGTATATAAAGATAGTAGATAGTAGATAAAGATAGCGGATAGTAGATAAAATATAAAGCTAAAGCAGATAAAGATAGGGTAAAGTAGATAAAGATAATGTAAATAGTCGATAAAGATGAAGTAGATAAAAGATAAAGATAGAGACAGTAGACAAAAGATAGAGATGAAGTAGATAAAAGATAAAGATAGAGACAGTAGACAAAATATAGAGATGAAGTAGATAAAAGGTAAAGATAGAGACAGTAGACAAAAGATAAAGATAGAGACAGTAGACGAAAGATAAAGATAGAGGCAGTAGATAAAAAATAAAGATAGAGACAGTAGTCAAAAGATAGAGATGAAGTAGATAAAAGATAAAGATAGAGACAGTAGATAAAAGATAAAGATAGAGACAGTAGATAAAAGATAAAGATAGAGACAGTAGATAAAGTTGAAGTAGATAAAAGATAAAGATAGAGACAGTAGATAAAGTTGAAGTAGATAAAAGATAAAGATAGAGACAGTAGATAAAGTTGAAGTAGATAAAAGATAAAGATAGAGACAGTAAATAAAGATGAAGTAGATAAAAGATAAAGATACAGTAGATAAAGATATAAGTATAAAATGCAAACACCAAATATAATTCATAATTTCTAACAGGAGCAGCAAGCAAGGAGATAATGAATTACATTTGGTGTTTTATCCTTAACTTTTACTTTCTCTACTTTATCTCTATCTACTATCTTTGTCTACTTTATCTCTATCTACTATTTTTATCTAATTATCTCTATCTACTATCTTTATCTACTTTATCTTTATATTTTGTCTACTGTCTCTATATTTCTCTTTCTCTTTCTCTACTTTATGTTTATCTTTTGTCTACTTTATTTTTATCTCTTTTATCTTTTATCTACTTTATCTACTGTCTCTATCTTTATCTTTATCTCTCCTTCTCTACCATAATAATCGACGAGAACCTTTAGGTGTACAAACAGATTTAATAAATAAAAAAAATATATATATATTCTTGGGGAATTTTTTTTATTAAAAGAACAACTTGAAATATCTCTCTATCTTTATGTACATAAAACCCTTTTGATTAATGCTGTTGATTATATCAGTTTATAATTAATTATTTTTTTTCGATTTTCGTTATTATCCTTGGCATAGAAAGATAACTTGGTTTTCATTGTAATAATGTCAAATTTATATTTAAAAAAATATATCATGATATTATCAAGGTCGTTGCAGCTCCTACATATATATATATATATATATATATATATATATATATATATATATATATATATATATATATATATATATATATATATACATATATATATACATATATATATATTATCAAGGATAACTTTAGTAATGATGATGGTGATGATGATAATAATATTAATAATGATATTAATAACAGTGATGATAAAACTAATACTAATATAAATAATGGTAATGAATCCAATGATTGTAATAACAGTACTTCTAATAATAATCATCATAAACTTTATCATTAAGGATAAAGACAACATTTAGAGAAATATTAAAAAAGCCTTTCTTCACACGTTACTTAAATACAATATTTCATTTAATCATAAACATCTGCTAAAACGCCACATGATTATATAAAGGAAAATGTGGATATACATATGTGTGTATGTGTGTATATGTATGTGTGTATATATATATCATCTAATATATGCGTGTGTGTGTGCATATATATGTGTATGTGTATATCTGTATGTATTATGTATGTATGTGTGTGTATGTATATATATATATATATATATATATATATATATATATATATATATATATATGTATATATATATAATATATATATATATATATATATATATATATATATATATGTATATATATATATATGTATACATATTTATATGTATGCATATATATGTGTGTGTGTGTGTGTGTGTGTGTGTGTGTGTGTGTGTGTGTGTGTGTGTGTGTGTGTGTGTGTGTGTGTGTGTGTGTGTGTGTGTGTGTACATACATTTTTTTATGTGTATGTATATTATACGTAATATACATATACCTAAGTGTATATATGTTTATATATATACACTTATATATATATATATATATATATATATATATATATATATATATATATATATATATCGCATATACAATTAAAATTATAATGTAAAACAATAATATATTTAAAATATTTCGCTGTCAAAATAAAATCTGTCTTTATAATTAACTTTATTCAGTCTTCTGTGCATTTCCAGTTTAGCTTATCTCTCTCTCTCTCTCTTTCTCTCTTCTTTATTCTCTTCTCTCTCTCTCTCTTCTTTATTCTCTTCTCTTTCTCTCTCTCTCTCTTTCTCTCTTCTTTATTCTCTCTCTCTCTCTCTTTCTCTCTTCTTTATTCTCTTCTCTCTCTCTTTCTCTCTCTATCTATCTCTCTCTCTCTCTCTCTCTCTCTCTCTCTCTCTGTCTCTCTCCTTCTTTTTCTTCTTCTCCTCTTCACTCGTCCGGAATTTCCTGTCCATCTCCTTCTGTTTCTTCCCTCGCTTCAATTTCGAGTGAAAAGAAGACCCTCCTCGCCGTGTATCTGTGGAAGGAAGAGAAAGAGTTAAGAAAGGTTTAACCCATTCGCCCCACGTGGCAAGAATAGATGCCATGCCCACTTTGATACATGTTTATTTATTTACACATAGATGGCTCCACAAGTTCTTAATCACCAAATAGCCAGTTTATCAGAACTACCTATTTCACCTGTTTACCCTTTTCCTTCGCTTTAGGAACGTTTTTTTTTTTTTGTATCATTTATTGTCTAAAATATTTTAATGACAATTTAATAATCGTAACATCAATAATAATAACAATGGTATGTCGATAGCAATGGTATTAAATTTCCCGCCAATTCAATGAATTGGAATATCAGGATCGGTAACTAGGGCCTACTGATAGACTCCTTGCCGGCTGAGCACATGTGGAGACATCTGTATGGAACCAAATTTACCAAAAACTACAGGGGACAGAACATAAATCCGGGGCGAATGGGTTTTAACTACGTAGATGTTGGCTGTTCTTCGCTAATGTCTTCTGTCTTCTCTCTCTCTCTCTCTCTCTCTTCTCTTCGTTTATGTTCGCTTCTTCACTCGAAAGAGTCTTTCTTTCGAATCTCTCTCTCTCTCTCCCTCCCTCTCTCTCTCGCCCTCCCTCTCCTTCTCTCACTCCCTCCCTCTCACTCTCTCGCCATCCCTCTCCCTCTCTCCCTCTTTCTCTCTCTCTCTCTCCCTCTCTCTCTCCCTCCCTCTCTTTCTTCCTCCCTCTCCCTCTCTCTCCCTATTTCTCCCTCCTTATCGCTCTCTCTCTCTCCCTCCCTCTCCCTCTCTCTCCCTCTCTCGCCCACCCTCTCCCTCCCTCTCTCTCTCTCCCTCCCTCCCTCTCTCTTTCTCCCTCTCCCTCTCTCTCTCCCTCTCACTCACTCCCTCTCTCTCCCTCCCTCTCTCTCTCTCTCTCTTTTTCTCTCTCCCTCCCTCTCTCTCTCTCTCTCTTTTTCTCTCTCTCTCCCTCTCTCCCTACACCAACCTGGCATAAGAATTATCGAAGAGGAAAGTGTAGACTCCTGGTTGTTTGGTGCTGAGTTTCCCCTTCATGGCTGTTCCTTGTGCTGAGGCCACACGGGTAGTGGGGATGAGGACGCGGTGGAGGGAGGTGGAGGAGGTGGAGGTAGAGGAGGTGGAGGAGGATGGAGGTAAAGTGGATGAAGAGGGGGCGATCGAGGGAAAGGTGGAGGACGAGGCGGGTGGTTGGTCGTTTTCTTGGTCTCTCAATTGGTGTCTCTCCTGGTTTCTTTCTTGGCCTCTCTCTCTGTCTCTCTCTCGGTCTTGCTCTCTGTCTCTCTCTCTGTCTCTCTCTCGGTCTCTCTCTTGGTCGTTTTTCGCTCCATTGAACTTTTCTTCGGCTTCCGGTTGATGCAGGATGGCGAAGCACACACTCTGTTAGTGAGGAAAGGCAGATTTGGGGCCTCTTTTTACATGATTACATACATATACATATATAAGTGTTTGTGTGTGTATTTACACACACTCACACAGATACACACACACACCCAGAAACATAAACACAGAGTTACATACACACGCACACACACATACACACGCACACACACATACACACACAAACACACGCACACACATAAACACACAGACACACACACACACACATAAACACACGCACACACACAAATACACACACACACACAAACACACGCACACACATAAACACACAGACACACACACACACACGCACACACACAAATACACACACACACACACAAACGCACACACACACACCTAAACACAGAGTTACACAAACACACACAGACACGCACACATAAACACACAAATACACACACACACACATACACACACACACAAATACACACACACATAACAGGAAGGATGAAGTTAGACAAAGATAACTTTATAATGTTGAACATAAGAAGGACAAGAGAACCCGAGAAAAAGTTAAAAGTAAAAAGAGACGAGGGAGATACTATGAAAAGATACTAAGAAAGATAGATACTAAAGAAAGATACTAAGACAGGTAGATACTAAAAAAAATAGATACTAAAGATACTAAAAAAGATAGATACTAAAGAAAGATAGATATTAAAGAAAGATACTAAGATAGATACTAAAGAAAGATACTAAGAAAGATAGATACAAAAGATAGATACTAAAGAAGGTACTAATAAAGATAGATACTAAGATAGATACTAAAGAAAAATACTAAGAAAGATATATACTAAAGAAAGATACTAAGAAAGATAGATATTAAAGAAAGATACTAAGAAAGATAGATACTAAAGAAAAATACTAAGAAAGAAAGATACTAAAAAAGATAGACAATAAAGAAAGACGCTAAGAAAGATAGATACTAAAGAAAGAAAGATACTAAGAAAGATAGATACTAAAGAAAGATACTAAGAAAGCGTTATGTGTGCCGAAAAAAACGCATCAGTTTAAAAGGTTATATGATACTTCGAATATAGCAGACGGGACCACCTGAGCTTCTCCCGTGTTAAAACAATTAGGTAAGAAGACACACGCACACACACACACACACACACACATACTCACAAACATCTGAGAAAAGCTTTTACAACTAGTTAAGAACAACAATGATTAGATGAGAAGACACACACATACACACGCACACACAGATACGCACACGCACACTCATAAACACACACACAAATACATGTGTGTGTTTGTGTGTATGTATATGTGTGTGTATATGTGTGTGTGTGTTTTGTGTATGTTTGTGTGTATGTGTGTGTGTATGTTTGTGTGTTTTGTGTGTGTATGTTTGTGTGTATGTGTGTGTGTATGTTTGTGTGTTTTGTGTGTGTATGTGTGTGTGTTGTGTGTGTGTGTGTGTAGCTCACCTTAGGCTCGGCCGAGAAGCACCAGCGAAGAGTGACGCCAGAGGGAAGATTAACAGGAAGGAGATATCTATTGCCAGCGTTTACCCAAATCTGCAATGAATTCAATAAAACATAAATCATAAAATAAACAAACAAACAAACAAACAAAAAAAAGAGGAAAGAGACACAGGGAGAGAGAGAGAGAAAGAGAACGAAAGCAAGATATAGAGACACAGAGAGGAGATAGAGACATAGAGAGAGGACAAAAGAAGAGGATATAAAGAGAGAGAGAGAGAGAGAGAATGAAAGGAGATAGAAAGAGAGAGAGAGAGAACGAAAGAAGGAGATAGAGACCGAGAGACAAAGAGAGAGAGCGAAAGAAGGAGATAGAAAGAGAGAGAGAGAGAACGAAGGCAAAGAGACAGAGAGAGAGAGAGAGAACGAAAGAAGGAGATAGAAAGAGAGAGAGAGAACGAAAGCAAAGAGACAGAGAGAGAGAGAGAGCGCGAAAGAAGGAAATAGAAAGAGGGATAGAGAGAGAGAACGAAAGAAGGAGATAGAGACAGAGAGAGAGAGAGAGCGAAAGGAGACAGAAAGAGAGAGAGAGAGAGAGAACGAAAGAAAGAGATAGAGACAGAGAGAGAGAGAGCGAAAGAAGGAGATAGAGAGAGAGAGAGCGAAAGAAAGAGATAGAGACAGAGAGAGAGAGAACGAAATAAGGAGATAGAAAGAGAGAGAAAGAGATAATAAGAGAGAGAGAGAGAAAGAACGAAAGCAAAGAGACACAGAGTGAGAGAGAGCGAAAGAAGGAGATAGAAAGAGATAGAACGAAAGAAGGAGGTAGAGCCAGAGAGAGAGAGAACGAAATAAGGAGATAGAGACACAGAGAGAGAGAGCGAAAGGAGATAGAAAGAGAGACAGAGAGAGAACGAAGGAAAGAGATAGAGACAGAGACAGAGAGAGAAAACGAAAGAAAGAGACAGAGACAGAGAGAGAGAGGACGAAAGAGACAGAGAGAGAGAAAGAGAACGAAAGAAGGCGATAGAATGAGAGATAGAGGGAACGAAAGAAAGAGACAGAGACAGGGAGAGAGAGAATGAAAGAAAGAGATAGAGACAGAGAGAGAGAACGAAAGAAGGAGATAATAAGAGAGAGAGAGAGAAAGAACGAAAGCAAAGAGACAGAGAGAGAGAGAGAGCGAAAGAAGGAGATAGAAAGAGAAAGAACGAAAGAAGGCAATAGAGACAGAGAGAGAGAGAACGAAAGAAGGAGGTAATAAGAGAGAGAGAGAGAAAGAACGAAAGCAAAGAGAGAGAGAGAGAGAGACAGAGAGCGAAAGAAGGAGATAGAAAGAGAGAGAGAGAGAGAAAACGAAAGAAGGAGATAGAGACAGAGAGAGAGAGAACGAAATAAGGAGATAGAGACAGAGAGAGAGAGAACGAAAGAAAGAGGTAGAGACAGAGACCGAGAGGGAGAGAGAGCGAAAGGAGATAGAAAGAGAGAGAGAGAGAGAACGAAGGAAAGAGAAAGAGACAGAGAGAGAGAGAGAAAACGAAAGAAAGAGACAGAGACAGAGAGAGAGAGGACGAAAGAGACAGAGAGAGAGAAAGAGAACGAAAGAAGGCGATAGAAAGAGAGATAGAGGGAACGAAAGAAAGAGACAGACACAGAGAGAGAGAGAGAATGAAAGAAAATAAGCAAACAAAATCAAGTGATATAAACATAGAAATGAGTAAGGACAATGTCATTTATAAGATAATAGATAACATATTAATGGATAAAAAGGACAATCCGACAATAGATAGGTTGTGAAATGATAATATTTGATAAAATACGATACAATAAGATGAAGAATAATACAGCAAGTCAAGAAAATTTGAGTTAATATAAAAGAGAAGAAAATAAAATCAGGTTTAATACAGTAAGATCACAAAATAAAGTAATATTAATAATGATAATTAATAATAAAGTATTGATAATACATTGAAATGATACAAAATAAAAATGGATACGAGACACAGATAAATTTTCAAATGTAATAAAGTAGATTAGTAAAATTAATTAATTAAATTCAGTTTGATAAGAGAGAGAGGGGGGGGGTAGAAAGAGAGAGAGAGAGTGAGAAAAAGAAAGAGAGAGTGAGAAAGAGAGAGAGAGAGAGAGAGAAAGAATGAAAAAGAGAGAGAGAGAATGACATAAAAAGAAAGTGAGAGAGAATGAAAGAAAAGGAGACAGAAAGAAAAAGAGTCAGACAGACAGAGAGAGAATGAAAAAAAAGAGAAAGGAAAAAGAGAGAGAGAGAAAGAAAGAAAGAAAAAGATAAAGACTAACAGAGAGGGAATGAAAGAAAGAGAGGAAGAAGTAGAAAAAAGAAAGAGACAAACAGAGAGGGAATGAAAGAAAGAGAGGAAGAAGAAGAAAAAAGAAAGAGACAAACAGAGAAAGAATGAAAGAGAGACAGGAAGAAAGAAAGGAGAAACAGACCGAGAGAGAACGAAAGAAATAGAGACAGAAAGTCAGAAAGAAAGATATAGAGACAGAGACAGAAGCAACGAAAGGGAGATATAGAGATAGAGAGAGAGGGAGAACGAAAGGAAGAGAGACAAAAAGGCAGAAACAAAGAGAGTGAGAGAGATATTGAGAGAAAGAGAGAGCACGAAAGAAAGAGACAGAGACAGGGAGAACGAAAGAAAAAGAGACAGAAAAACAGAAAGAAAGAGACAGAGGGAAAGCAAAAGAAAGAGACAGAGATAACGAAAGGGATAGAAAGAGAGAGAGACAGACCGAAAGAAAGAGATAAAGACAGAGTGAGAAAAAGAGAACGAAAGGAAGAGACAGAGACAGAGAGACAGAAATAACGAAAGGAATAGATAGAAAGAGAGAGAGAGAGAGAGAACGAAAGAAAGAGATAAAGACAGACAGAAAGAGAGAGAAAGAACGAAAGAAAGAGATAAAGACAGACAGAAAGAGAGAGAAACAAGGCAAGGAAGAGAGACCGAAAGGGCCTGACACCCGTTGACAGCCTTACGAATCTCACCTGCGTGTCAAGCAGAGGTTTTTCTCTCAGGTTTTCCACGGAGAGTAAGGCGCTCGAGGCTCTGTACTCGGGAGAAGCCTCAACGCCACTGATGCTGCCTGGATTAGCGAAGGATTCTCGAATCTCAGCTTCGTCTTCTTCGTCTTCTTCGTCTTCTTCTTCTTCTTCTTCTTCTTCTCTATCTTTAATTTCTTCTCCTTTGTCTCTATTCCCCGTCTTACTACTCTTGTTCTTCCTGTCATCCTCTGTGATGGTTTTTGGATCTGTTGGTTAAAATATCTTGGTAAGAAAAAATATATATTGAAATTCTTAGTTAATGTTGTTGTTTTTTTATTATTAATTGATTTATTTATTTCCAGACAAACGTTTTTTTTTTATAAGAATTCTTTTATGTTTTTTTTTTTCCTTATTTTGGGAGGATTAAATATTCACATTTTATATTATAGTCATAATATTTATCAATTTGGTATGAAATATATTTATTGTAATTAAAATATGAGTTATTATTTTTAAATTATTTATCTTAATTAATCTATTTATCTTAATTAATCTAAATAAATTGCTTTTCAAAGATTTTGATTAAATTGCGTCGTTAATCCACATCAATTGATTTTTTTGTTTGTTTGTTTGTTTTATGTCTGAAGTTTATCATTCTATCTTTATCCTTTACCTTTATCTTTTATCTTTCTTTCTTTCTTTATCTTTATTCTCTTCTCTTCTCTTCTACTATGATATGTATTTCGTTGTTTTATTATTATTATTACTATTGTCTATCTGCCTGTCCGTCAGTAAGTCTGTGTCTATCTGTGTCTATCTGTCTGTCTGCATTTCCTCTTTCCCTTTCCATCTCCCTTTCTCGCTCTCTCCCGCCCTCTTCGCTCCCTCTCCCTCACCCTCCCTCACTTTCCCTTTCCATCTCCCTTTCTCGCTCTCTCCCGCCCTCTTCGCTCCCTCTCCCTCACCCTCCCTCACTTTCCCTTTCCATCTCCCTTTCTCGCTCTCTCCCGCCCTCTTCGCTCCCTCTCCCTCACCCTCCCTCACTTTCCCTTTCCATCTCCCTTTCTCGCTCTCTCCCGCCCTCTTCGCTCCCTCATCATCTTCTTCCTTCTCTCGCTCTCTGACCCTCCCTCCCTCCATCTACCTCTCCCTCCCTCAACCTCCCTCTCCCTCTCCCTCTCCCTCCCTTTCCCTTCCTCCCTCCTTCCCTCTCCCTCCTTCCACTCCCTCTCTCTCTCTCTCACCTGCCTCTCCCTCCCTCCCTTTCCCTCCCTCTCTCTCCTTTCCTCTCGCTCTCCCTCTCCCTCCCTCCCTCACCCCTCCCTTCCTCCCTCCTTCTCATCCTCTCCCTCCCTCCCTCCCTTCCTATCTCTCTCTCTCCCACCCTCCCTCCCTCTCCTTCCCTCCCTCTCCCTCTCTCTCTCTCTCACCCTCCCTCCCTCCCTCTCCCCCTTCCCCCCTCCCTCTCCCCCTTCCCCCCTCCCTCACCCCCTTCCCTCCCTCCTTCCCCCTCCCGCTCTCCCTCCCTCCTTCCCATCCTCTTACCTGCCTCTCCCTCCCTCCTTCCCTCTCCCTCTTTCCCCCTCCCTCCCTCCTTCCCTCTCCCCCTCCCTCCTTCCCCATCTCCCCCTCTCCCTCCCTCACCCCTTCCTCTTCCTCCCTCTTCCCATCCTCTCACCTGCCTCTCCCTCCCTCCTTCCCTCTCCCCCTCTCCCTCCCTCACCCCCTTCCCTCCTTCCCTCTCCCCCTCTCCCTCCCTCCCTCCCTCTCTCCCTCTCCCTCTCCCTCCCTCCCTCCCTCTCCCTCTCCCTCTCTCACCTGCCTCTCCCTCCGTCCTCCTCTTCCCCTTCCCTCCTTCCCTCTCCCCCTTTCCCTCTCCCTCCCTCTCCCTCTCCCTCCCTCCCTCCCTCTCCCTCTCCCTCTCTCACCTGCCTCTCCCTCCGTCTTTCCCCCTCCCCCTTTCCCTCTCCCTCCCTCCTTCCCCCTCCCTCTCTCCCTCTCCCTCCCTCCTACCCCATCCCTCTCTCCCTCTCCCTCTCCCTCCCTCTTCCTCCCTCCCTCCCTCTCCCTCCCTCCCTCTCCCTCTCTCACCTGCCTCTCCCTCCGTCCTCCTCTTCCCCTTCCCTCCCTCTCCCTCTCCCTCCCTCCCTCCCTCCCTCCCTCTCCCTTCCTCCCTCCCTCCCTCTCCCTCTCCCTCTCTCACCTGCCTCTCCCTCCGTCCTCCTCTTCCCCGTCGACAGCAGAGGGATGGAAGCCACGACTGCTGCTAACTCCGTTCTGATTGAGAAGCATTCGTCGCAGGCGCGCACTCGCCGGCTGGGAGGGGGGGAGGGGGAGATGAGAGTGAATTGGAACGACTGGGAGTGAGTAAGAGTGAGTGAGAGTGAATGAGAGTTGGATTGGAACGACTGGGAGTAAATGAGAGTGAGTAAGGGTGAATGGGAGTGAGTGAGAGTGAATGGGAGTGAGTGAGAGTGAATGGGAGTGAGTGAGAGTGAATGAGAGTTGGATTGGAACGCTTGGGAGTAAATGAGAGTGAGTAAGAGTGAATAGGAGTGAGTGAGAGTGAATGAGAGTTGGATTGGAACGCTTGGGAGTAAATGAGAGTGAGTAAGAGTGAATAGGAGTGAGTGAGAGTGAGTGAGAGTGAATGGAGTGAGTGAGAGTGAATGGGAGTGAGTGAGAGTGAATGAGAGTTGGATTGGAACGCTTGGAGTAATGAGAGTGAGTGAGAGTGAATAGGAGTGAGTGAGAGTGAATGGAGTGAGTGAGAGTAAATGGGAGTAAGTGAGAGTGAATGGGAGTGAGTGAGAGTGAATGGGAGTGAGTGAGAGTGATGGGAGTGAGTGAGAGTGATGGGAGTGAGTGAGAGTGAATGGGAGTAAGTGAGAGTGAATGGGAGTGAGTGAGAGTTGAATGGGAGTTGGATTGGAACAGCTTGGGAGTAAATGAGAGTGAGTGAGAGTGAATAGGAGTGAGTGAGAGTGCATGGGAGTGAGTGAGAGTAAAATGGGAGTAAGTGAGAGTGAATGGGAGTGAGTGAGAGTGAATGGGAGTGAGTGAGAGTGAATGGGAGTGAGTGAGAGTGAATGGGAGTGAGTGAGAGTAAAAGGGGAGTAAAGTGAGAGTGAATGGGAGTGAGTGTGAGAGTGAATGGGAGTGAGTGAGAGTGAATGAGAGTTGGATTGGAACACTGGGAGTAAATGAGAGTGAGTAAGGGTGAATGGGAGTGGAGTGAGAGTGAATGGGAGTGAGTGAGAGTGATGGGAGTGAGTGAGAGTGAATGAAGTTGGCGTGGAACGCTTGGGAGTAAATGAGAGTGATTAAGAGTGAATGGGGAGTGATGGAGAGTGAATGAAGGTTGATTGGAACGCTTGGAAGTAATAGAGTGAGTAAGAGTGAATAGGAGTTGAGTGAGAGTGAGTGAGAGTGAATGGGAGTGAGTGAGAGTGAATGGGTAGTGATTGAGAGTGAATGAGAGTTGGATTGGAACGCTTGGAGTAAATGATAGTGAGTGAGAGTGAATAGGAGTGAGGTGAGAGTGAATGGGCGTGAGTGAGAGTAAATGGGAGTAAGTGAGAGTGATGGGATGAGTGAGAGTGAATGGAGTGAGTGAGAGTGATGGGAGTGAGTGAGAGTGAATGGGAGTGAGTGAGAGTGAATGGGGAGTAATGAGAGTGAATGGGAGTGAGTGAGAGTGAATGGGAGTTGGATTGGAACGCTTGGGAGTAAATGAGAGTGCGTGAGAGTGAATGGAGTGAGTGAGAGGATGGGAGTGATGAGAGTAAATGTGAGTAAGTGAGAGTGAATGGAGTGAGTGAGAGTGAATGGGAGTGGTGAATGAAATGGGAGTGAGTGAGGTGATGGAGTGAGTGGAGTAAATGGGAGTAGGTGGAGAGTGAATGGGAGTGAGTGAAGTGAATGATTGAGTGAGAGTGAATGGGAGTAAGTGAGAGTGAATGGGAGGTGAGT